GGGGGCTCGCGCGGCGGCGGGGCGGAGTGCGCCAGTACGATCGCGCGATGTTCTCGGCGGCTGCCTTGGTCGCCGCGTACGGGTTGGTCGGCTCGAGCACGTCCCCCTCCTTGCGGCTCGGCTCCTCGGAGTAGGAGGAGCCGTACACCTCGTCGGTCGACACGTGGATGAAGCGGCGGATGCCAGCCTTCTTCGCAGCCTCCACGAGGACGTGCGTGCCGAGGACGTTGTTCTCCGTGAAGGCGAACGAGTTGCCAAACGAGTTGTCCACGTGCGTCTGCCAAGTGGGCGCGCGCGCGCGCGCGCGCGTGAGCGAGTGAGCCGCCCGCTGCGAGGGGCGCAGTGTGGCGGTGTGGCGGGCGCGGCGGGTAGATGAGGGGATGGGGAGGGCAACCTGCGCGGCGGCATGGATGATGGTGTCGATCTGCTCGGTCTCGAGGACGTAGTTCATCAGGTCCGCAGAGAGCAGGTTCCCCTTGACCATCTTGAAGTTTGGCTTGTCCTTGACCTGGTCGAGGTTGTGCAAGCTGCTGCAGTAGTCCATCTTGTCCAGACACACCACCTGCGCCGCCGCCGGGAGAGCGCCCACGCGCCCGTCGGGTGGTGCCGAGCCGCGCCGGCGACAGGGCATCCGGGCGCGGGCTGAGCACACCTTGTACTGTGGGTACTTCTCCACCAGGCCGATGACGACGTGAGACGCGATGAAGCCCGCGCCGCCCGTGACGAGAATGTTGGTCGGCGTGTAGTTTCCAACATCGGCTTTTGAGGCCGGGCGCACGTGCCCGCCGGGGTGCGGCTTGTTCCCGTTTGCCGACATGCAGGTAGGGCGGTCAAGCAAAGAGGCGCTGACACAGTCCAGGCGCTGCACAGAGAGAGGCGAATTCCGTTGTTTCCTTGTTACGGGCGTACCCCAAATTTGGACAATTTGACCTATTCTGACTGTGGGTTGTAACAAAGTTTGAACCACACGCGCGGCGCGAGGCCTTGCGCCCCATGCGGTACGGGGCCGTGAAACCCATCGCCTGGGGGTGCTAGGACACTCCGAGAGACATGATCCAGAAGTGCCAGGCACACCCACCCATAGTGGTCAACACGAGAACGCCGAAATCGTGACCTCGGAACGCGGTCACGGCAAATGTCAGATTGAGATTGTAATCAGGAATGATGGTGCGGGCTCTTGAGTCTTGTAATTATGCATCGCTCGCGCGCGCTCAAAGAAAGATAACAGTCACGCCAAACGAGGGAATGGCAATGCCAATGGGCGACGC